ACTGTGGTATTTGTACCCTGGAGCTCACCAACAATGCAATGAATCTTCTAAAACAGTGTCAGGTAAACACCCAATTTCAATTCAAGAGGGCCAGTTATTTTGTCCCAGCACTGGGGCGATAGATAATACAAACTTTGACAGCAGAAAAGTAGGGTCATGGCAGTTCAGAAGCCTTTGGAACTGGGATGCAGGAGGCGTTTGTAAAGGTCTGGAGAGGTGAGCTAGAGAAGACCTAGAATGTGATAAGCAAAGGTTAATGGGCGATTCTAGTCAAAGCTCAGAAAATCATAATGGTAATAAAAGTACAGACTTTGAAGGCCAGGCTGGTGAAGTTTCAGATGGGAATGAAAACATGATTGGAAACTGGACTAGAAGATGTGTTTGCGTCATTCTGACAGAGGATTTTGCCCCTTTCCCGAGACTCTGTTTGAGACCGAATTTAAGGGAGGTGGACTAATTCCTCTGGCAGAGGAATTCATCTATTTATAATCATTTTCTTCTTACATGTAGTTTATCTTTTTATCATTTTAACAGAATGTTATACTAATTAAAATGTTTTTAAAAAAATGTTTATGAAGACAAGTTTAATTTTATAGGATGTGGTAACAGTGCCAATTCTAAAAGCTCTTTACCTGGTCCTAAATTGCAAAGGTTTGGTGGGTTTAAATTATTCTTAAATTTTATGATTATTGAATTGACATGGACCCTTAGTCTGTGAGCTGCGTGAGTTACCAGGTAAGACTTCAATCCGTGTTCTCCCTACCCACTCCTTTCTCTTCTTTCCCCTGTTGTGCCCTTCCTTTCGTCCCCTTCCTTCTCTTTCTTTGTTACCTAGTCTAGGGTAAGTATGGTCCTCCTCCAGTGTTCATGGTTCTGCTTTCTTAGCTTCACTCTAAGTGAGATCACATGGTGACTGGCTTTCTGCACCTGGCTGACTTCACCCCCTAGTGCCTTCCCAGCCAACCCATGACCCAGCGACAGGACCTCCTCCTTTGTTATGTCTGGGTAGCAAGGTATGATGTAGATTTACCACACTCTCTTTATCCATTCTTCCAGTGAACTATTGTTGGTTGATGAAAATCATAGGTTAGATTGCTCTAACCTTGGTTGGACTACACATACAGTATGCTTAATTACACATTATCTTTCATAACTGCAGAAATAATTTAGTTCCCACCCAAGTGGATAACACTTAGAACATTATTACCACATTCTTGAATAGCTAACAAATATTTATAGGTAAAAAATAAATAATTGAAAAAATTGAAATAGTGTTCATCCTCGTGTCCACTTGAAGTCAGTGTACATCATTTAGCCGTGCATTATCTCTCTTTCTTTTCCTTGGTCAGCATCATATTCGGGACGTGGTAGGACTTGCACCAAGTTAAACAACCCGGCTTCCCTCGCAGCTGGCCCTGGGGGTCCCAGATGAACAATTACTGGGCTTACTCTATCAGAAGGAAAATTCTTTTCCAGCAGCATCACCTCCTGCGTCTTCAGATAGAATAGTCACTTTAGGAGACTATTAATAAAGTTCATCTTATACTTTTTTACTATCTGTGTATCTGCGTAAGAAGTGTGAGACAAGAAACCCCCCCCCCCAAAATAAAAATTCAAACACTGGAAACCAAATCACTTCTTTAGAAATGGAAAGATGGTTTCAGATGTGTGAGCAGCAGAAACATTAAAAGACAGGACGGGTTCTGTAAAAGACAGTCATGAGCACAAGGTGAGAAATTGGGTTGATTTCCTGCTCATAACTTTCCCTAGTGAAAGGAACTGCATGGCTTCATAATCACCTCAGTGCTTGGTGGTTCACAAGTCACACGAGATGCTGCTAAGTTTTAAGGAGATTCCCAAATAAAATAATCTGATTCATTCCATTACAGGTCTATTTTCTATATATTTTGAAAAAGAGCCCCATGATAACGTTCATATTTTTCCATTTCATGTTGTGCCAGAGGTTATTGTCCTGAAAATAATAAATGTGTTGTATTCATAAATTGACAATTTGAGACACAGCTAAACTAAAATAATGTTACTAAAATAATTTATTATCAAAACAAGCACAAATCTTCATAGTATTTGTAAGCAGAGACAAAAGATGACCTTTACAATTTCAAAGTTTTGATAAATAATAAGATGTGGTATTACAAATAATCTCGTGCTGAAATTATCTTTTAAATTTAAATAGAAAGTTTGTCCTTTGGGCTTCACCCTGCCAAGATCCCCAGAGAACAGGAGAGAAAAGACATTCTTTTTTCCAGAAGTTTCTTGAAAGGTCTATTGATTGATCAGGTAATCTTAACTGTTACCCACAATTCAGAGTTCAGATGATCTTCTACATCACTTTATCTGTTTACTCAGAATCTTCAAGGTTGCCTCTATAAAATCTCTTGAGTCTGACAATTCGTGGAGAGATTTATGAAAAACAAAACACAAAAGTTTCTGTTCCACCTATTTTCTGTATAAGAACCCAGGTGTGTGTTATATTTGCCTCCATATCCTTTTTATAACTATATATGTAATCGTTATAAATAACAATGTAAAATGCTTAAAAGGATGTATTTATGCATCTACACATTTAGGTAGCCAAAATTTTTAAAATAATGGCATAGAAGGAAAAGCACACGTAAGATAAGTATCTGAAAAGAGTTTCAAAAAGCAGTAGTTTCTTTGAGGTTATAAATTTTAATATCATTAAAATAAAGCTCCTTTTTTATTAGAATGATGGTAACTGACTTAGGATTCAATTTTCCAGCACTTCTTTTAGACAGATTTAAAAAAAATTTTTTTTTAATCAGTACTGGGGATTGAACTCATGACTGCCTGCTTGCAAGGCAGGTGCTTATGCTGCTGAGCTAAATCCCCAGTCCCTAGACAGACTTCTGTACATAAGAATGAGAAAGATAAAAGCTACAAAGTGAAAACTCACCTTCTCATGTTCCATCTCTACAAACATATACTTTTATTTTTGATTGTTATTTTTAACTGATATATGAAATCATTAAAATTAGACACATTAGTGTCTAATGTGACGTTCTGATACATGTATGCATTGAAGAATGTTAAAAATCAGGTTGAATATATCTGTTTCAAAAAATATTTATCATTTCTTTGCAATAAACACTTTCGAAAACCTTTTCTTCAAGCTTTATGAAATGAATACCCACCATTGTTGTGCAGGCCTCCTGTAACCTAGCTCCCACTTGTCACCCTTTTTACTGGAACTATTTCTCTTTTTCACAAGAGATCAGCCCACATCTCTGGATGTTACCCTTGGAATTGGTCAGGGGCCTCTGCCATGCAGCTGCTTCTTGGTGACTCCCAGTGCATGAAGGAGAGAAGGGTTCAAGAAGAGCTCAGACCAAAATCAACTTCAGGTCAAAGACAGTGTGTGAGGCAGAGGGCCTGGCCTCCGCTGCCAAGACAGAAACAGGTTGCCTCACAGGTCACGATAAAATCAGACTAAAATGTTATGTAAACAATATGAGTATTGTGGGCATATCGTGTATATATAGTTTACTCACTTGCTGAAGTTTGAGAGAAATAGCTGCTTAGGTAATTTCAGTCACAATCCTGTACTCACAGGATTGTTTTCATTCTTTTAATCAGATTTTTCTTTTTTCTTTTTCTTTTTTTTTTTTTTTTTTTTTCTCCCAATCAGGCTTTTCTTGCATCACTGAACTTTACTTGGATTTAGAGGCATACTATTATGACAGCAAGTGTGTTTAGGGGTGTTAAATAGCTGACTATATTAATGTTTTTGGATCATTGAACACAGCTGTTTGCAGTCTCTCTGTTTGAATGTCTACTTTGTATTCTTTGATACTGTGATTTGAGCAGCTATTTCCAAGATGATAATGTGTAGTCTATTAACGGGTGATTTCTTACTGTTATTTTTTTTTTTTGTAGTTCTGTATTATGTGTAACCTTACACTGCTTTGTTTTGTTTTGTGTTTTTCTCTTTTTCCTCTTAAATAAAAAAAAAATTAGAGGCATACTATTCTTTGTCCTTTTGTATAACTTTCATAATGAAACTCTACTACATTTTAAACAGAATTTTACCTGAAAGAAACTATTTGTTGTTCTACATACGTCCAACTTATTTATAAGGATCTCTTTAGTGAGTGGTGAATTTTAATTTCATCTTTGAGATAATCTGTTTGTCCAGAGGATAGAAGAATTTTTTTTTCAGGTCGAGAGAGTTGTCACTGTGATAAGACACATGGTCATACGAAAAAGAGACCATCTGAGACATTATATGTATTTTAGTTTATTTCACCGACTTTTTAATATTTTAGTATATGGAATGTGCAGAAGTTGTGGTGACCTTTCTAATAGTTAAGATTGGCTAACAGTGGTCAAAAGTAGCAACCAACCACAATTACAGTAGATTTCAAACTCTAGGTAGATAAGTTATATCCTGTCCCACTGTGGAAGCTACAAATACCCAGCAGGAATGTAAAGTGATGTTCTCTAGCAGCTAGGAAGGGTCAGAATACAGGGAAGGAGCATGGACCATGGCTTCTGCAACACAGAAGAACGAGTTTGAGTTCCGCCGCGTAATGGGTAAGCATAGCTCACACTAAGTATCGATTATGTTATGAAGATCTAGAAGAGGAACCCAAAAACTCCAGACACAAATTAACCATTAGGAGGGAAAATGCTTATCACCAGACTAGGTAATGCACACACTCTTTGGATGCACTGAAAGGTCACACACACCCCCCCACTTATGTGTAAAGTCATTGCATGTTAATTAAAAAAGTAAAAAGTTAGAAAAGCCACAGGATGCCTTGAGAGCGGAAGACACTTGCTGCAGTCTGGAGCTAGGAGCGCGAAGCCTGCTCCCCACTTCTGGGCATCTGAGGATCATTCTCACAGAAGCCAGGGTCTGCATCCTGTTCCTCCCCAACCCTTTGACCTCTGCTGCAGCACTGCTGTTCGGTGTCCTCTTGTATTCGCAGTGTTTTTCCACTGCACCGTGGTCATTAGTGAAAAGCCCTTGCTAAGTTTTCTACTGAGGGTTTTTTTTTTTTTTTTTTTTTTTTTTTCCCCTTGAATCATTTTGTCATCCGTTCGTCCCTGCAGCTCTTGCCCTCCCTGTGGACCAGGTCACACTACTGTCCTTCCTGGTCTGTACCAAGCACTGGGGCTTCGCTGTGGTCACAGCACCCAGACCCACTTTGCTTAGCCCGCAGCACCTCTGGGGCGCCTTCCCCTCCTGAAGCCTCTCATCATCAGGCCTGCGTGGGTAGGGCCAGGTCCTTCAATGGGACAGAAGTTATGGTTTTTCTTTCAGTCTCTGTCACACTTTGAAATCATGTTTGTGTTTGTGTATTTAACACCCTCTACCCTGGTCGGAATGTCATGTGGGTGTGCACAGTGTGCCACTGAAATGTTAGTGATACCCAACGCTGAACCCTGCAGTTTAGAAAGCACAGTGAGTGAGCAAGGGAGTGCAGATATTTCACGGACACACAGCGCCACGGAATTCCTAAGAAATGAGAAAGGAGAGTGGATGGACTTTCTCTTCTGTACCTTTAAAATAATATTTTAGAAAAGATTTATTTCAGCCTGTCTAGTGGAATTTAAGAGAATCTACGGCCATCCACCAGATGCGGTGTCTTCGCCTCTTCCTGTAACAGGAAGCTAATTCCAACACACACAATTTAAATGAGATGAGGTCTCGTTGGACGCACGGTTTTTACAGGTTGCAGCATGTAACTGGCTGCCTCCTGACAGAAATGGCGGCACAGGAGGCTGGGGGAGCAGAGCTACGTGGGTCACGGTGACCAGGAAGTGGAAGTAGTGAGGAGGTAGAACTTCCGGGTCATGCCAAGAGAGGCAGCCTCCTAACCAGCTGGACTGGCCACGTGGATAAAACACCATCTAAAAGCATTCAGGGGACATTCTTGCTCTCAACTGTAGCAAGAAGATTGAGTAACATGTGCTCTTAAATATAGGCAGCATATGAGATATGGAACAGCTGGAGAAAGCAATATAAACCATGGTCTTGCTTTTCCAGTTGTGGGAGGAAAACAAATGTTATGATAGTTTCAAAGAATGTATATATTTTTTTATTCTTCAGCTAGAATTTCACGAGTTTGTAATATTGCTTCTAAAAACTTTCATCAAGCTAATATTTCATAGCATTTTCTTTTTTGATTTCTTTTTTTTTTAATTATCAAACTTGGTACTGTAGGTTGTTTTGAATATTCTTGCTTTTAAAATTATTACCAGAGCACAAATTGCCTTCAATTTCCCTGCAGATATTCTGCAGAATGAACTATGTCTTCCAAACTTCAGAGCTCTAGTTGTCCTCCGTGTACACTGGTCTGGATGATAGCATTTTATCTCAGCCAGGTGACTGCATGGGTGGTATCAGTGTTCTGTCACTTACCACACAATGGCAGCAACAGCAGTGGCCACAACAACAGAAAGTATGACTCAGGTGGGTAAGGGCTGTCTTCATTCCCTGCTCCCTCCCTGAGACCCAGGTGATGCAGCTTAGTCTAAATTCATCTCTAAAGATGAGGCTAAAAATGTGTACAAAGTTTTCTTCTTATCAAAGATACCTGGAAATTCTTCCAAGAAAGCCTTACACAGACATTAGGGTGCCTGTGAATTTAAACACCGAGATTTGAGAGTAATAGTTTAGAGCAATGTTTAAAATGAGTACTGTGTGCCCAATTATATCCTTAATTTTTATGACACGGTCTACTACTGTAAATTATGTGGCAGTACTGTGGTATTAGCTATACAGTGACAACATCCATGATGATCAGAGAAATTTTTGGCTTCCTTCTCTCTCAAAGACTAGTCCTAAAGCTGCTATGACTTTTTCTAAATCAGCATCTATCTTATCTACCTTCAGTCAGTGAAAATACCAGTGATGGGCTTCTCTCACCCTAGATCCTAATTTAAACTGAAAAATGTACCTTACAGTCAATTTCTAGTGCATCTTCATCTTATCAGCCCACGTTTTACTTTGAGTTCACCGCAGTCCTGCTTTTACCCCTTAATTGGCAATACTGCTCGTGAGAATAATACTGTTGCTCTTTTCTCTATATGACTTTGGGGTCCAATTACTGAGATTTCAGGTTCAGTGCTAAGGACTTGCCTCTGTGTCTGTCCTTCACCTAGAAGAAGAAAGGCTCATCCTGGAAATTGGACTTGAGTTTAAAAACCTGCTGGGCAGAGTATAAATGCTGGGACTCTCACCATTGACCATGAGTCCAGTTGTCCTCTGTCTTGTTGATCCCATTTTTTCTTATCTTGCAGGATTGTAGGTAACTTTCACTATGGCACAGTGCACTTAAGATAATGATGACCACTTCTGTCTGAAAAAACAGAATGATGAATGTGCATGGAATGTTTACAGGATCCATTTTCACACAATCAGAAGGGATGACACAGAAAGTGCCACATGTGCAGCTCCAGTGGAGTTCAACTTCTTAGGGTAAGTAGGGTACAGGCAGGGTGAGGAGGAGCATGTGGGAGCTCAGCTAGACCGCAGGTAGGAATGGTTCGGAGCTGAATTCCCTCAGAAGCTTGGAGGTTCTGAGCAACTAGGTGCCGCATCTGCAGAGGTCCTCTGCTACTGGGACTGTGACCTTGTGGGCACTGTGGGACTGAGTCCATCTCTGCTCTGGCTCTCTTGCTGGCCATGATGTCACTGCTTTCCCATCGAGAGCTTCTGCCATCATGTGCTGCCTCCTCCAGGCTTTCAGAGGCTGCTGACCATGGAGGAGACCTCCAGGCTGTGAGTGAAATGTGCTTTCCTCTTCACAGGGCCATGGTCCCAGCATCCTGGTGTTAGGATGGAAAGCTGGTGCCTGAGGTTTAGCAGTAAAGTACAATCAGGAACCACCGAGAGCAAGTGAGAGGACAAGCTTTTGGTGCTGACCATCATCTCTGTCCTTGTCTCCATCTCTATCTCTCTGCCTCCCTCCTGCCTTCTGTTTGGTGGCCTCCCAAAGGCAATGAATCCAGATGCATAGTTCTTTGCAAAACGGCCTCTTCTCTTGGCGTTCATGACAAGACTCTGGGCTTCTTCCAAATGCACTAATCTCACTTCCCCAGCTTTCTCTCTCTGCTCTCCCCCTTGGATAGTCCAGGGTCCACTTCACCATCTCTTCCTGGCTCCAGGCGACTGCTAGTGACTGAGTTTCTAGCTGAGCTCTACTTGCTGCCCTGAGCCCTGCTGAGAGCTCTGGATCCCATCCCCCTGTCCTTGCTGCATCTCCACCTGCATGGCCACAGCTGGAGAGTTCTACCTCTTCCAAAACCTTTCTTTCTTAGCATTTTACATGTAAGGAAGTAAGTGTATAATCTGTTGCACAGGTCCCACCCTTTGTAATAAAGAAGAAAAATAAAATTCCCTCAGAATCACCAGCAGCCTCCCTTGATTTTATACCTTGGTCAACCCGATTTCTTTCAGTTATCCTCTCCTCTCACCCCAGCAGCAAGTGGGAACACAGGTGGATCATTGTCATTAACCTGAGTTATTAACTGACTGATAAAAACATAAAAATTGTGCATGTTAATTTCTGCAAACCGGTGTGTGTTGCGGTTCTCATTGGCTACGCCATAGAGATGTGTGGATTTTAACTGTAAAATAGCTTTCAACGTGGTTTACTTCTCTTCAGCTCATTGTTTGAGCTTAAACAGCTACTATGTTGAATTTTAAAATGAATGCCAAAGCTTTACTTCTACCTTTATCACAGAGGTTTAGAAACAAAACTTGTATTGCAAAGATGGCTGTAACTCAAAACTAATCATTGACTTCAGTCTTCTCCTTAGAACCCTTCTGGGACTTCCTATTCCACTGAAGAGAAAAATCAAACCCTTAACTGTGGTCTGTTGTCATGGACCTGGGTAATTCTGCAAATTCTCTTTCTTAAAATTAAACAATTTAATTTACTTTTGTGGTAGCGACTGGATTGAATGCAAGGCTCTGTGCATGCCTGGCAACCCTGCACCTCAGGAGCAGCATTCCCAGACCACAGAAACCTGGTGCCTCCTTTCCTCTAGTCAGGCACACTCTTGTTTGGCATTTGTTTTAAATGTACACAGCTTTCCCCAGATTTTGTCACTTTGCTCTTCGTTTTCCTTGAATATGGAATTTTTTTTTTTTTCTGTAGTGAGCAAAGCTCAAGCCACTGCTATTTAATGAGGCCTTTCTAACATCTCACCCAGAGAACAGATCTCACCTTCTTGTCCTGTTTAGCTTCTTTCCTTCCCTGCAATTAGTATGGTGGGCTATTGTTTTCCACATTTAATTTGCTATCTTATTCTCTCTTGTCATCTTATCACCAGTGCAATTTGTCTTGCAAGGGAAGAGGCTTCAGCCCTTGTGCCCATGGTGGCTCTGTGGCTCTGTGGTCTTGTGGCCAGCAGGACCTCCTCATTAAATAAAGGAGCAGAGACTGGTGGACCAAGGAAGTTCCTGGACCAAATCTCTTTAGCTTCCTATGACTGGACCTGAACTTTTAAATGTAATGGAACCTAAGCTTTCATCCTAAGACACATCCCTAGCCCCTTTATATTGTTTATTATGAAGCACGTTCTCTTTAGGTATCTAAATTGTGTAAGCTGGACTCAAACTGGAATCCTCTTACTTCCCAGATTGCTGGAATTATAGGTGTGTACCACTATGTCCAGCTTGAAGTATTCTTTAAATATTTTACTATAAATATTTTGTTACCAGCAGCTGAGTTAGATAAAAATATTCTAGGCAGTCAGACAGGGCTGGGCCCTTGAAGGAGCCAGTGCAGAAGACCAGGTACCTTGCAACTTTGGAGAAAACAGGTAACTCCTTGGAGGCTAGACTTCAAAATAAAGATCACACAAATGTACCCACACACTTCCTAAGGGTGCTCCAGGTGACACTGGCAGTAATTCCTTCTGGCTCTATTTTAGCCAGAACACAAGCCAAAAACTTACATAAAATTCTTTAATTTTAAATAAAATACTGCATTTTTCATCAACTTTCTTTATATGAAATGCAGTAATTCTCATTTATTGTATATCATAATCATCTGTTGAGTTTTAAGAGTATATTTTTTGAATCTCTAAGTGATCCTTGGTAAACTTTATATCCTGCCTTTTGTGTTTCATACTTTATTTGGATATAAAGTTGTGTTTGAGAATAATTTGTCTTAAACATGTGAAAGTTTTAAAAACACTATTACATAAAAGTGGCTTTTCAATGATTAAATAGTGTTCTCCCTTTTCAACTTTCTGTCATCTTTGATGCACAGTCTTAAGGTAATTAAAAGCCTATTTGGGTAACTTAGAGGATGTGTTAGACATTGAATATGTGTGGCACAGCTCTAATTAACATTGGGCAACCGAGTATGTTTACCATCATCACACACATTCTGTAGAGTATGATCCAGAAGTCTGAATTTCAGATGTCACATTAATCTTTTTTCTCACAAATCATCTTTTGTCATTTACATGACAATACAGAGGGGTTTTAGCCCTGCTGGTGATCAGAATTAAGGAAGGTGCTTGTTAAAATTCTATTTTATACAGAGTTACTAGGCCAAGATGTGGGCTTACCTTTCTTACTCTGCAGGACAGATTAGACCACAGCATAATGCTACAAGGATACAGGGAACCCTAAAGTGTCAGACAAGTTGACATGAGGCAGTAAAACTACAGAGAAAGAAACACAGTAATAATTTCTGACCACAATCAGCAACAAAGGGAAGTTAAAATAAGTTACAATAGAAGTGTGTGTTAGAAACATCAGTGAAGTTAAATTTCCACCTACCTTATTAGGACAGTAAATACTGCTCTGCTCCATGAGGATGCACTTGGCCTTTGGACAGTAGACTTGAAGGGAGTGACTGTTTTATATGTTAAGTGCACGAGACGATAGTTTCCTGAACAGAAAAACTAGCGCTGACAGCGAGTTTCCTGTATGATGTGATAAAAAACTAGCACTAGAAACAAAGAACTGCTTCTGAAACTACCCTGCTGTCCTCTGAGAAGAACTCCACAGCCCTTTACTTGCCCTGTTGCTCTCGTAGCCAGAGGGGTCACCTGATCGCTTATAGGAAGTAAAGGCCCTCTGTGTGCCTGGTGGGCAGAAGCCTGCATTGCCTGCCCCAAGAAGCCATGGCAGAATAGCCCAACAAACTCTTCTGTGTTGCCTCTCTGTATTTTCTCTCTCTGCATTTTATGAACTTGAATGTGGCAACCATCTATGGGAATCCATTTTTGAAGACAGTGTTGGAAATTTATGCTGCTCAAAGAGATGCCTCTTTAGCACTGAATTGGCCAATGCATTTCTAGCTTCAAAATACTGTTTCAAATACTGCTGTGGTATGATGCTTTTAATTCTTCTGGGAAGGTAGCACAAGGGGAAATGCTGGATCAAATGGGACCACTGATCCTAGACTTGAGGACTCTCCACACTGGTTTCCAAAGTGCACCAGTCTGCACTCCCACCAGTGGTAAGGAAGAGTTCCTTTTTCCCCTCAGCCCTCCAGCATTTGTTACTGGCTGGTTTCTTGATGGCAGCCATTCTTTCTAGGGTGAGATGGAATCTCAGTGTTGTTTTAATTTGCATCTCTTAAGTGACCAGTGATGGTGAAGGTTTTTTTTGTTTTGTTTTGTTTTGTTTTTTTCCTGTCTTTATTTGCTGCTTGAACTTCTGAGAAGTGTGTATTCATCTCAGATGATCATTTTTGAATTGGGACTTTAAATTTTGGGGGCCTTGATGTTTCTATTCCTTATGTATTCTATATATTAGTCCTTTATCAGAAGAAAAACTGGCTGAGACTTTTTCTCACTACATGGGTTGTGTCTTCACTCTGTTGATAATTTATTTTGCTGTGCAGAACGTTTTAATGAGAAGAGATCCCAGTTGTTGATTCTTTGTGATAGTTCTTTTGTGTCTTCCAGCATTTTGTCTGTTCCCTTTCAGCAGATTTATTGTTTCTGCTTTAATATTTAGATCTTTTTATCAACATTATATTTTTTAAAAAATTAGTTTATACACTTGAAATTAAACTTTAAATCTGTTAAGTTGCATGGGTTTATTTTATTATCTGCAAGCCAGTGAGGATGTTCTAGAATCATGGTGAGTGAAAGCTAGGTGGAACTGCTGTGTGTTTGCATCAAGCACTTTGAAACTGTGGAGCAGACAGCACATACCGGTGTCACTTTCTCTGTGTGGCACAGTACCAGAAAAAGCAAGAAAGAAAAGTCACATGCTTTCAACAAAAGTCTGCTATCTACTGAGTATCTGAGCCAAACCACTGTTCAGTGTAATAAGTGATGACAGCAAAGTACCTTAGAAGCCCACTAGCACAGCTGCGGATACGTGTGATTTTATAGTGCTTTTCACTTTACTCTCTGCGTTTTAACTTTCAACCTTTATACAACACGAAAATCACCTTTTCCTGTCACTCTCTGCCCCAATGCAGCAGCTGGCTAGAACAGGGCCTGAAGCTGAGTTGAGAGTAGTCATTTCCAATTCTGTTTTCCCCATTTGATTGGTTGAACAGACAGAATTTAAGCGTTCTATGAGTCTGAATTAATTTTTTTTTTTTTTTTTTTTGAGACAGGGTCTTGTTATACAATTTAGGTTGGTCTTAAGCTCACTGTGTAGCCCAGAGTGGCCTGGAAGTTTTGGTGGTTCTCCTGCCTTAAGCCTCCTAAATGCTTTGACTAAAGGTATAATTGCCTGACCTAATTAATCTGACTCCTGAAATAAGGATCTAGGTGAATTCTAATATTCTTTATTTTGTAATGTCTTGATTTTGTAAATGTTAGCTATATAATTTTGAACTGAGTATCTACCTCTTCATGTCATAATTTAATAATCTGTGTTATTAAAATTTTCATGTCTTTTAGAGCAGAAACTGACCATTTTTTCTCTACAAGACCAGATGATAAATATGTTCTAGCTGTCAAGCGATGTAATCTGTTTCATAACTGCCAACCCTGCTGCTGTACCACCAAAGCAGCCGAGAGCTTATAAAGTAATAAGGGTGTTTGTGTTCATGTCAGGAGTTTAGGAAGATTGGGCAGTACACAGGGCCTCTGCAGGGGCCTGAAGTGGGTGGTAAGTACTACAGGACAGTTTGTCGGGCACTTTTTCCAGAAATAAAAGTTTGAGTTAAGTTTGAATAGCATTAGAATTCAGCTGATATTTTAAAAAATCACTGATTTAGCAAATCATTTTTGCTTATTCATAAAGTACAATATTTTTAATGAATAATTTTTCTTCCTGTGTATTGTTAGTTTTCTTACATATTCTTTTCAGTGTTTAAGTGGCCAGGTCTCTCCAGGTTAGAGGTAATAAGTTATAAAAAGCTATAGACTTATTCTGTATTAAGTATTAAGAGTATTAAGCATTCTGTATTCTATATTAAGATGGCAATTTAAAATTCTGGTAACATTCCAGTTAACATTATGCTCTTGAGATGCATCCTTTTTCGTACAAATTGCTTGTGTCTCTTCTTCTCAATGCAAGCAGGTACGCTGTTGTGTATAACTGTCATAATTTCCTTATCCACCTCTTACTCTTACATGAGAAACTCAAACTATAAATAAGGAGCAAAATAAAGGACAGGTAACAGGAAGTGGGGAAAGACTGCCTTAGAGAAAGTGGACCAGGTGCCGGAGCAGGGGAGGGCCGAGGAGGAGACATGGGCTGAGCTGTGTGTCAAACACAAACACACACACACACACACACACACACACACACACACACAAAACTCCTCACGGGAGGGAGAGTCTCATGATGCAAACACAGACGGATAAAAGAGAAAAACTGGAGAAGAAGGAAAAATTCTAGTAATAGTTAAAAACCAAGCAAATTAAACCCCACTAAGATGCTGCCTTTTCCCCTGCCATGAGTGTGGCTTATTTCAGTGGAAAGCTTTTAACTTCTTTCTGGGAACTTGCTCAGGAAATGACTGAAATTATTTTGAATCATTATAAAATGATATAAATATAAATGTGTATTCCATCAGATTTTGTTTTGTCTTCACAAAGATTAAATCAAACTCCGAGCAGCAGTGCAGATTGTTGGCGAAGTTCCCCATTGGCCTCCATTCATTCAAGGGTTTTTACTGTTGCTGTATATTTTCTGACAGCTATTTAAAATAATGCTCATGAAGTAAACACAGGGGATCAGAACTTAGTGAATACCACATTGCAATTTTCAATAAAGCAATTTTCGTAGTTTGAGTTTTTAAACATCAAACTTTGCCCTTAAAGTACATGACTAAAATAACCATAAGCTATAAAGGCATTTAATCTATATAATTTGCCTTCATTTTCTACATACAGTAGTTATTTCTATAAAGTGTTCACTAAAATTCTGGCTAAAAATATTTTTGTAAACATAATTTCATATGTAAGAAAAATCTATGGTTGACAGGAAGAAATTTTTCTCCTCGCCACAATTAACTTTCTGAAATATATTTTGATTGCTTTAGGTAAGATAATGATAAATTAAAATTTCTAGTCAGTGTAGGTGATTTAAAATTTTAATTTCTATGAAATGTCATTAAATATCAATTTTCAAGTTGCTTAAATATCAGTTGGTTGAATCACATTAGAGTTGTTACCTGGTCTTGGATTTATTTAACAACATCAAATCTCGTTAACATTCCAGATATATAATTTTGCTATTATTTATCATGGATATTTGTGAAATATACTGTCAACATAAAGTCACTGGGAGATAAATGCCACATGAATGTCATGTGCACCAAACATTTTATTGCTATGTGTGTAATTAAAGTTTTCTGTGGGAAGGCTAAAATATAACTCACATTCAATCCTTAAAAATAGACTACTTATTCGAAGACCGCTTGTTTAGATTTTAAGATCCAAATGTGTGTACTTTTGGCTTTGGTGATAATGTGGAAAGATTAATCATGTAATTAAAAGTTCATTTTTATTTTACTGTTTTGAAGATCACTGTATTATTTATAGGCCATATTCACCATTACTTATAATGGGATTATACAAGGCACATTTAACAAGATAGAAAAGCTGAACAGTTCCCACAAGGTGACCTTCCCATCTTCGGTGCTTAACAGTTGCTTCTGAAAAGTGGTTCTCACATCGCTCATGTGTAACAGTAGAATCCCTTACATCTGTACAGTGACTGTAATAAGGACTCCAGATGCATTTTCCAACACACTATACTTTAGGACAATTAAAACATCAACACAGATCTTCTGAGGGATTCCTTTACACTCTTCTTCCCCCACCTGCAGGATTGCCCAGCCTGTGCCCCCCAGCTCACCTCGCCTCTGGAGTTGCGTTTCTCACTTTTCTCTCTGCTGCTCTGCAAATGCTTGTCAAAATGAAGAAACCAGTGAGCTGCTTCCTGGAAACCCACAGGACCTGGCGTGGCTGACTGAGTGGGGTCCTAAGACAGCAGGGAATTCTCTGAGAATGCAGGTGCTCTAGGTGGGAAACACCTCAGATCCCAGTGATGCCCCAGAAGACAATGCACGGTGTAGATGGAGCCCAGTCCAGGTCACTGGAGTGGGGACACTGCCCATGTGACCACACTGCAGTTTGGAGGGAAGAGCAGGTGCCCTGGGGCTACCCTGATGTCTCCCTTTCCCTGCCCCATTTGGCACTGGGAACCCCGTGTCCCCAGGACTTCCTGTTCAGCACTCAGTGGGCCAGGGACCCTGCACACCCCGGGCTGCTCCGTCAATATTACTTTCTCTTTTGTGCTTATCTATCCCAGATTTTAAATTCTTCTTTTCACGTTCTTTTCCTATATTCTACCCTATCTTTCTCTCTCAACTTCTCTACTCCTTTGGCTCTTCCTCCCTGAGCTTAGCCCCATGTCTACACTGCCCCTCTGCACCCTTGGGCAGAACCCACCCACAAGTCCCAGCA